TTTTACATACTAGTTACAATAATATGTGTTTCAAAAATAGAGATTAGGCACAGTGATAAATCTGGATCCCTTCAGTGAGTCTGAGTGTCTGCATTCAATTAAAGCCTTCTTAAAATACAGTGATAGATTCTTCTATTGTACCATATTGGCAGAGTCCCAAATTAGTTTAACAATTAGTCCCCAAAACACCAGGCTGGGTTCAGAGATGGAATGTGAGACCCCAGAATACTCAGCCAGGGTCAACAGATATCTCAGACACCCACCACAGGCCTTTGTCTCTTCTCATGTTGCTTTCTTTTTAAAGGTCTCTGACTCTGAGACACTGTTTTAACTGACCTTATTTTTTCAATTTGTTTTTATTTTGATGAATGCCTGCTGCTGCCTTGCATTGGTCTGTATGTCTGGAAGAGTTCTTTCTTCATCGCTTTCCCACGGAGGCTTAAGCAGCCCTGTCCTTCGTCCCTTTCACTTATTCTTCGTATCTAAATAGGTCATTAGACTAGCTTTCCTGAGTTACCCTTGACTTCTTTCTCCTGTACAGATTAAAATCTCAAGATATGTCTCTGGATATATTGGAATTAAGTAATCAGTTCAGATTCAGTATGATTTAAGACAGCTCCCAGTCTTTCCTTCCAAACCTTCTTCCTATTTCCTTTCTCTCTGCAGACATCTCCATGCTTTCTGCTACTCAGCACTGATCTTTCCCTAGGTCATCACATGCTGGTAAGTCTGGATACTGCACACTGATTCTGTGCATAACAACTTTGAGATAGTAATTTTTCTTCATCTGTGGCTACAATTCTCATATTAACTTTATTTTTGACCTGAGCTATAAAATTCCTTTCCTCTGAAATCTATATATACAATATAGTATTGCTGTTCTCCACTGTGGATGTTCTTGCATCTTTTTCATTAGCTACAACATAAAGTGATAATTTTGAATGACCTTTTTAGCTTAACCTCAGCTTCTTCTCATTTCTCATTTGCTCCTGAAGAGTCTCCTGTATGAACAGATGAGTTTTCCCATTCTTCAGATGTCTTCTTTTTTTTTTTTTTTTTTTTGTCCCTACTGTCACTATACATCTTTAGATTAGAGAGTTCAAATTGTTTTCTGTAACCCCATATACTGGTTGGCACTAGAGCAATGAACTATTGAAAAATTAAATATCATAGCTAAGTGTTTACAAAAACTGAAATTTCTGAAGCTGCAAACAAAAACAAGTGTTACTTGAGAAAGACACATTCTCTTAAATATTTATTTCAGCTGATGTTTTCTACATCTTACTATTCTTTTGGGTTGCAGATCAAAAAACCCACAATAAAATAGCACCCATGCCCCACCTCAATTTCCTCACTCTTCCAGAGTCCTCCCTTTTATATATTTCCCACCATCTTCTGCCTATTAACTCCTCTTTTCCCATTTTCCTTGGAGTTCCTGGGACAAGTTCCAAATGCAGCATTTTCTTTAACATTATTTTATTCCAAAATATTCTTCCCTGTGGTCAGATCATTCATTTGAATAGAATATTAAAATTTATTCCATTCCTCCACAGTGAGAAAATTTTGGAACAACAGCCACTTAAAAAATAAAACCAAAATATCAACAACAAAAAGCAACAGAAGAGTAAGTGCAATGAGGGAACAAATCTAGTATGAATAGATCTGAAGCTTAAAAAGTTGAGATTGATTTGCTCTTTAGCCCAATTACTAATTCCAGTATGCACACATGATATTCACTTTGTTCATTCTTAGCTTTTTGTAAGCTCTATATAGAAATTTTTGTATCTTATCCAATATTTTAATAGTTTCCAGTGACTATTCACAGGCTAAGTGAGAACATAATTTTGAGCCAAATAGTGTCTGTTCTTCTTTCCAACCTGTATGTTATTTGCTAGTTATTTGGATGTCATAGTCTCTTTGGTTGTACTTTCTGCTATCCTGTTTTGTCTGCCCTGTCTATATTCTATTCTTACAACCTTCAGAGAATGTTTTCTGGGCCACATCCAAGGCTGTATTTGTTCAGGTGAACTTCAGGAAATTTCAGGGTAAAATAATCCTTCATTCTAACAGTCCATGGAGAATTTAAATTGATCAAGCAAAATGAGATCACTTATTACTATCTGGGGTTATAAGTAAACCAATATTTAGGGAGAAAAACTGACTAAACAAATTGATGCCTATGAAGTTAATACTTGGAAAGATCTGTGAGCAAGAGGAAAAAACATTATATCATCTTTCTCATCTCATATATTACTTAATCCAAAGTGTGCTTGTTTGACGTCTCTGCTTCCTGTTTGGATAACGCGTATGTGCTAAGTTCTGGTGATGAGTTATTTGTTTGTGCAGTTGTGCTTAAGATAAGCTAAATAAAAATGTTTACAGCTGCACATCAAAGACAATATAGTAATTAGTTAGCATTAAAACCCCACTACTTAGATAGAAGGAAATACCAAATTCCTCACACCAATTCCAAATAAAGAAGTGTACAAATTAAGAAAAATTTAAGCTGTGCTTAACTCTGCCAGGGTCACAATCCTTGGCCTTCAGACTGCATCAGGGGATTTCAGTGTGCTGGTTCCGACCTCCTTGTGAAAACTGCTTGCTTGTGGCTATTTTTCTAAGTCACAGACTTGTTCAGCCCCACAACCTGATGTGCTGAGCTTGCCACACAAATTTTCTTTTTAACACCCAGGTAGTATGCTAAAAAGTAGCTGTAACAACATGTGCTGTGGACCAGACAGGATCCAATGGGGTCAGACTATCTGTTAGCCCAAGTGAAAACGTTCTAAGGCATGCCTGCCTTTTGTTTTACATGCAGTGCTGTGAGTCAGTAACAAGTTTCTTAAAAACTTTATCAGTGTTCTATGGGTTATCATTTGCTTATTATCAGGTGTCATCTTTCCCATTAGTAATTACTTTATCCAGTGGCTAAGCCTGCACATTACCATTTACTGATAGCAGCACTGTGTAATTGTCCCTTTTGTGTATTTTTAAATAGCAACCAGTTTTTAAACAATTAATGGAGGAGGAAGAAAAAGCTGCTGGTGCCACTGGATCCACTGCTGCAGCAACCATCACAACATCACTCTTTATATCCAGTCTGTTAATTGCTGTGAGACTTAACTGTGATTTGGACACATGTGGGTGTCTATGTTTAAATGCTGACTTCGTATATGAAGATAGCAGGAATGCTTTAATAATTCTTTCCCTCCATTCTAGCTTTATTAAATCAATTAGTATTTATCTTTTTAAGAGTTAATAGATACATCTTTTTTAAGAGTTAATAGATATATATTTTAAAAAGTTAATAGTGAGAAAATAGTTTGCTACATGCATATTTGCAATGCAGACTCTATACTTTTTAGTTTCACCTTGTTTTTCTAGTATCATGGTTCTATCGTTTTGAAACAGCATGGAGCGTGTATCTATTTCAGAAAAAAACTGATCCAAAAGTAGACGACCTATGTATTGTGGGTATTAGCTCAAAGTGCACTCCAAAACTGGTGTGCAAAAGACCTCATAGCTTTCTGAAAATGAATATGACTAATAGATTAACTTTGTCTTATCGAATAATGTTGTCAGTACGCTACTTGCGTGAAGTCTCTAGGGTTAAAATATTCTTTAAAGAGATGTTTATTTTTGGACAGACCTATTGAGTTGTCTCCTATTGTATGTTAAAGTAGCTGCTCTCAAAGGTCACAGAAAGTTCAGCCTTACAAAGACACCCTTATTTTGTAGAAAATGAATTTTCAGACTCTCTAATGGGAACATTCAAAAATGTCTCTAATAAAACTTTTTTTAGAATGTTTCATTTGATGACTTGTCCAGAAAGAGGAAAAGTAATGTAAGGACAGAAGTTTGGACAATAATCAGACATGAAAGCATATCTCTGTTTTCAGTAAGTGTAGAGAGTTGCATATGTTTTTCTTGTTTTTGCCATAGGAACATAATTCTTGGAGTTTTCTATTTGTTTTTTAGCTTCCTCAACCTATGTACCTGGGAGGACATTTTCTGGCTTTTGGTTTTCTAAGCAGCAGACACCAATTAAAAAAGCACAAATCCAGCAACTGGGTCCAGTCAGATGGAATGTGCTCTTGCAGAGTTGAAGACTTTGGAGTCTCAAGCAGTCAACAGGATCAGCCTGCGCTGACTGCTCTGTATCATGGCAGTAAAAGGATAATTTAGTCAAAAGCCATAGCTTCAAGTAAATGCAGTGTTTGTGAAAGATACCGTTCTGATAGCAGTGAAAAGAGAACTCCCTACTTTTTCCCAGGAGGACAGCTTAGCTGCAGCAAATCAAATTTTGCGCTGGTGTAGCACTTCATTTATGTCTCTGAGATACCCAAAGTGATTTATTTTATTGACCGACTTAGCAGCTGGTTTTATCTGTTGCAACAGACAGTTCCAATCTAGCGAGTGAAGCTGACACTGAGATGAGCTGTATGAAGTTAGACACCTGTCATCCACTTACAAGGAGCAGCGTATTACACAAGGGTGCAACTGTGTGGGATAGCAGAGGCACGCAGAGACATGTCCAAGCCTAAACCTTAATTTTCCCTGCAGATGCTTTAAATGAGTGTCACTGGTTGTAGACACGTATGTGCTTGGCATTAGACATCTCAAGATACTTTAAAAATTACAAAGTTCTGGAAAAGCCTGGGTCATCAGAGTGTTGCTTTGAAACTGGAAGAGTGTTAAATATGATTTTAAAGGGATATCAGTGGGAAATTATTTGTTCTGAGGGGAGAAAGTTTGAAAACAGAACATTGTAGACTTTTTAGACATCCTCTTGCAATATAAATTGTATTTCTGACGGTCTAAACCAAGGGAGTTTTTGTGTAGAAGGAGTTGCTGTTTACCACTCCTGCTTTCCATTCCGTGCAACCATTATGGCTGGGTCCGGTGATGCGACATGCAATAGGCAATTCCGGGCCTGACAGTGCCGGTCGTGCTGCCCGTTCCGTTCTCAGCCTGTGTGTCGACGGGGCAGATGGAGAACCCTTGGACCCTTGGTTATTCAAAGGCCAGGATGGCGGGGCAGCGGTTATTTGGGCTATTTCCAGAGCCTCTCTCCCCGGCTGTGACAGCATCCAGGGCACGCCACCCGCCCCGGCCCCGGCCCGGCTCCCGCGCGGCCCCGCTCTGGGCGCTTCCCCGCGGCCGGCGGTGTGGGAGCGGGGGACGTCAGTGTGAGGGGGCCGGTCCTGGGCAGGGCAGGGCGCCCGCGTCCCGTCCCTCCCCGCCCCTCGCCGCGGCTCCCTCCCTCCGGCTGGGGGCGGCCGGGTCGGCCCTCGCCGGGATCCCATTCCTCCTCCCTCGGTGCATGGTCGCGGCGGGAGCGGAGGAGGGTGAGCCCGGCGGGGCGCGGGCCGGAGGCGGCGGCGAGAGCGGAGCCCCAGCGCGGAGGAGCCGCCTCTGCCCGGCAGCGGTGAGGCAGCGGCACCGCTGAAGTTGTGCGGGGTAGGGAGGACGGGAGGGAGGACGGGACGGAGGACTGGGACCGCTGGCTGCGCTTCCATTCATTGCACGAGCGGCGGCCGGGCTGCTGCTTCTCCTGGGCCAGGGCTGTAGCCTTAGGGACAGGCCGGGGACGGGGCACAGCGCGGAGGTGGCGGCAGGGACGGGGCTGTGCCGCCGGAGAGAGCCGCCCGGCGCTCGCCGGGGCAGCGGTGGAGCGGGAGGGCACCCGGGCGCCTTCCCCGCCGGCAGCGCGGCGGGGACCCAGGGCGCGACCCGGCGAGGCGCCCGCGGCCGCCAGGCCGCCTCCTTCCCTCGCTCCCCCCGTCCCCGCTCCCTCCCTCGCGCCGTGCGGAGCGGGGCGGGGCCGCGGGGCACCGCCCGTCGGGGGGCCCCGCTCGGCTTCGCGCGGGACGGGTAGCGGGAGGCGGGCTGCCCCTGGCCGCCTCTGGCCCGGGCACCTGCAGCCGCTCCCCGGGGCACGGGAGCTTCTTGGCTTTCCGCGAGCTGCCTCTGGGAGCGACGGTTCAAAGCTCACCTGGGTGCCTTCACATCGCTGACGAGTTCTTCACACTCGTCGTGTTTCTGGGACCAGTTTTTGAGGGAGGGATGTGTGTGTCTGTGTGTGTGTATTTTAGTTTTTAGGGCCCTTCAGGGAAGGGCAGGAAGTAGGTGACACAGGTTGCCGGTGCACTTTTTTTGGTAGTTTAGGTGTCGCTCCCAAGGCACTCAGTAACACATCATGAGATTGGATCCCATAATTCAGAAGTTGTGGGTGCACTGGAGCAACATCAAGTAAAACAGCATGGGCTGGCAGTGCCGTGTCCAGACAAGTGCCCGCACTGCCAGTACCTGGTGGCAGAGGAGCAATGTTGCACCATCATAGTAAATTTACACCAAGCCAGAACTAAGCAGACGCGACGCTGCGAATGTGTGCGTCCTAACGAGAGATGTATTAGTAGGAATAAATGAGCACAATTACAGAGCTCCAGCTGACCTCATCCAGAAGAGAATATTATATATGTTAATAACAAGGTTTGGCTTTCTTAGGGAAACATTTTTTAGGCACCATTAAAGATCCCTTAATGAAGATGTCTTCTTGGTCCCAGTCCTGCAGTGGGTTCTGACTGCTTCAAGCTCATACCTGCAAGGGGCCCTGTTGTTTCCAGTGGGTTTGCTTTGGTCACAGGAACCTTATGTCCTTATAGTAATTCATAGAGACCTAAATTTATGTCGTGCACAAAGAGTGGCTAACTGGGAAATGTCAGTGACATTAGATTTTGTTTTTTCTGAATCAAACATACAAAAATATAAACCAAATTAATCTCTGGGATCTTCTTGAGTATTTTATCCATGTTCATGCATTGTTAGGTCAGGGTATAGGCAGACTGTTAAGATAGTTGTTAATGACAGGGTTTCATGGGACCATTGCTCAGTTTTTCATTCAACATGCTAGTTGCAGCCACTCCAGCTTTAATCACATCACTGCTTTCTTCACAGGATTTCTCCCTCTGAGTCATGCAGTGGGTTTAATCAGTGTGGAGGAAATTGCCCACTTTATCTTTTTTTTAGTTAATCGTCTGTTTTTATTAAGCATTCTGGGAAATGTTTGCATGATGATGTACCCACACATCAGGCAAGTAGTAGTAGTAATGTGTCATTTTCTTTTACAACTGTAAATCCCTGGGAATGGATGCAGCATTGCTGTGTAAGAATGTTACATTTATTTTTATTACTTATTTAATCAAAGCATTGTTCCACCACATCTTCTAAGACACTCGTGATTGTGCTGGGCTGGTATGTTAGGATCAGAAGTACGGCTGGCAAAGACTGAAAGGAAGCCAGTAATTGCCATGATCCTTTTTCGTGTTCTAGCTTGTAGCTGTGAAGATTGCTTGTGGTGTTCTGTAATTCAGTAGGACAATGACTTATTAACTGCTATGTGTTGTTGCATCAGCAGAATCTGACTGGGCTGCAGGTGACTGTTTAGTTGGCAACCAGACAAGAAACCTGGTGTTTTATTTTGCATATGGTGCAGACATTGCTTTTTCAATAATAATTACGTGAAAAGGAGGATTCATTATTTTTCTGAGTGTTTTGGAGAACAGAATTATTATTCATCAAAATTTGTGTTTCCAGAAGATTCTACTCTGTTAGACATTGAGTACCCATTGGAGGGCTCCCCAGTAAAAGAGAAGTGATGGTTGCAACGCAGGGGATGTGTTGAACACCGGATGGCAGCTCCTAGCTAATATAAGATTTCTGCAAATTAGAAGGAAAAGAAATCAGGCAAGGAAGCAATTTCTAGGAATTTTACCCTCAGCATCTTAAACATAGCTTGTTACAAGACAAAGAGGAAAGAGTGTCTCCACATAGAAATAGCCCGTGGTGAAGCTGCTGTTTGCCTCAGAGGTGTTTGTTAACAAAGCTTGAAGTGGGAGGGTGAGGATGGCTGCCCTGCTGTCCCTAACTGTCCTCACCTCCTACACACACGTGTGTTTGTGTGTTTGTGCCCAGGCACAAGCACACACAGCTCCTCTTGTTGGCTGACCCTTCACACCATCCAGCCTGTGGGGAAGAGAGCAGTGCTCAGCTTCCAGCTGCTGGTGGCAATAAGAGAAACTGTTTTTTGTCCCCATTCCTTCCCTGTGAACAAGGGCTTTCTGTGTCTTCCTTTATCTTGCTTTCCTCTGTGTTTTCAGTGCTTCCCTTCCCTTTCAGGGGTTCCCATTTCTCTGCTTTCTGCCTACCTGATAAATAATTTTGGGGTGTCAGCATTTGAACTCTTTTGGGAACAAGGAAAGAGGTGGCAAGTTGCTGGAAGATGTTACTGATTCTCAGAGCCCTTTTTTGATGGAAGGACAATTGCTGATGTGATTGTAGTTGACAAGTCTGTTAAAATAATACCAATTTCCCTTCTGGCTTTTCAGCTTTCCCTTCTGGCTTTTTAGCTTTCTTGAAAATTGACAGGATTCTCCTGAGCTGTGGTGCCTAAAATCTGCCCTGGGAAAGTGGAACTGACAGGATGCATTCTTCCAAAATCACTGTCCTACATATGGATGAATTGGAATAAAGCTGAATGTAGGGCATTTGTGAAGCCCAGTTTAAAAAAAGAATGTTGTTATCCCTTGCCTTTTAAAATTGCTCAGGAGTTGTGGCCAGATACTGTGAAAGCTGTCTAAACAAGTAGTCAGTGCCTCCCTTCCCTTTCAAGGGTTCCCATTTCTTTGCTTTCTGCCTACCTGATAAATAATTTTGGGGTGTCAGCATTTGAACTCTTTTGGGAACAAGGAAAGAGGTGGCAAGTTGCTGGAAGATGTTACTGATTCTCAGAGCCCTTTTTTGATGGAAAGACAATTGCTGATGTGATTGTAGTTGACAAGTCTGTTAAAATAATACCAATTTCCCTTCTGGCTTTTCAGCTTTCCCTTCTGGCTTTTTAGCTTTCTTGAAAATTGACAGGATTCTCCTGAGCTGTGGTGCCTAAAATCTGCCCTGGGAAAGTGGAACTGACAGGATGCATTCTTCCAAAATCACTGTCCTACATATGGATGAATTGGAATAAAGCTGAATGTAGGGCATTTGTGAAGCCCAGTTTAAAAAAAGAATGTTGTTATCCCTTGCCTTTTAAAATTGCTCAGGAGTTGTGGCCAGATACTGTGAAAGCTGTCTAAACAAGTAGTGTTTTACTGTCTTGTAAGTAAAGTGATATTTTTATGTTACACTGCTGACAGAAGGTGATGCATTTCGGAAAAAAAATGCAGAACTGATGTCTTAATTTCCTTTCCATTTGCTTTTGTTTCTCTTTACAACTCTAGCAGGTGAGACATTAACCATGAATAAGTATTTCAACATCAGTTAATCAGAGAGTAATCAATTTTTCTAAACATATTTTCCTAAAAGACACTTTTGTGGTAGGTACTTCCAAAGAAAACCAAATGCACAGTGCAAAAATAATTAAATTATAAACTTGCTACAATGGCAAACACTGACAGCAAATATACCTGATCCATGTGAATGGGTTGGGAATGTATCTGAAATTCTGAACTGTGGCAATACATTGGACACTTACAGTATGGACACTTATAGTATGTATCCATGACTGAGTATAAATAAATCACAGCGAAAGATATTTAGAGACTGTTGTTCACATAATCAGTAGGTTCCAGTTTCTGATTCACTAACATAATTACCAAAAAAAAACAAACAAAAAAACAAAACAAAACAAAATAAAACAACCAACCCACCAAAAAAAAAAAAAACCAAAAAAAACCCCAAAAAAAGAGCATGATCTTTTGCTAAAGATGAATTTCTCCCGTTCTCATTGTCTTCTAGTTCTGTCTTTTTCAGCTTGGAGCTCTATAGTTAAGTTAGATGTGGGTTCTTCAAAGGAGAATCCAGAATATTTGATACATTGATGCATGAGAGGAATGCTGCAGCAATTTGTTCTAAAATATTTCCTATTTTGGTTTACATGTTGTTGGTTGGGGTTTCTTTAAGGGTTTCTCTGAAGTCCATGGTGAAAACATAGGAACTAAATGATAAACCATGAGAATGAAATACTATAAAAAGAGCAAAAAATGTCTGGAACAAAGCATAATTTTGTGTTGTAACCTCTGAGACTACTATAATGAACACAGACACGCAAGGAAGGCTTATTTTAGCTGATTTGTTTTTTTACCTTTAAGGTCTTCTGATTTTTTTACCTTTAAGGTCATTCTAATCAATGAAGCAATACTGCTGAAGCAGCTGTACAGTCTTCTTTGTCACTGGTGTTACCACTGTATTTCAGACTTCTTTCTCTTAATACTTAATGTCATCTTAAAGATGGTGATGGTGTTTTTGGACTGATGTCTTCTTTGTGGTATCTTACATCTTACTGATGAGTATATTTTGGATTTTAATTATACACACAGCAGTAGCTTTAGAGTTGACTAAGTGATCTTCATGGTTGCTGACACCTGACATTGCATACATTATATGCCTTTCTTGTACATAATTTC